GTAACAGTTTAACTATAGCTGGTTTCAGCAACTCACGCCTATGTTTCATAAGCAACCTTTTGCGGGTTTTAGTTATATTAACTTGTTATATATTTATATTATTTTACTATAGGCTAAGACTGCTAAGTAAGACCGACTATTTCGAAGATATTTTCGATAGAAACTAAAATATCATTTTTATCATCATAATCACTGCTTTAGTCTGGATTGGTAAACATAGATTCCTTCCCTACAAACTGCAACGAAACACGATCATGATGCATACATAATTGCCACATACATTCATTGACTTCCCTCATATTTGTACAGGTCGTCACTCCATATAGTGAAAGTCGTCCTACGATGGCCAATATGAGGCTGTCACTGGAAAACCTTTTTGCCCCATCAGTAATTAGTTCTAGTTTCTTGCTAACTGGTTAATGGGCCCCATTGCCACTCCTGGTTGACAATCTTATGAACTAAGTCCATTACCTTGGCTCCATCTGCATCAATCAATGTTTGTTCCCAAAGAGTCAGGCGGCTGTTTGTAAAAAACGTTGTCAGTACCGCTAAATATAAATAAGATTATTGAACTTTGTTAACATTCATGAATATTCCTGGGACAAAATCAAAGCCAAAGCCACTTACGGTTATTAGACAATGTAATTCAAATTTTCAACGTATGTCTTTTCGTAGTTTCACGGTATGTTTTTGATAGATTTACAATTAAATCGTATTTCTTGTAATTCAATCATACGAATAGTTCTAATCTTTATAGGTTTAACCGTCACTTCTACTGCACTATTATTTTTTTTTGTATTTGTAAACTGTTGTTACGCTTTCAGTCCTTAGACTATTAAAGCTTCATCGAACGCAGAACCGGTGGGCTAGCCAGAACTTCATATGCAAACAGTTCGGCTTTTTACCCTTGTTTATTTGAACAAAGTTTCGATTTCGCGTTTACTTTAAAATTTAACGAATTTCTATAAGTATTAAATTGCTACGGGTTTGTCATATGGTAACCATAAAAATATGAGCAATAGTAAACTATTATAATAGAATTTCTATTATTTTGTGAGTTAAGAGTGCGTACTTCTGTTTGAAATTAATTATGTTTTTTCACAAAAATCTTTATTATTTTCTGAACACTGCCAAAAATGTTCATCAACATTTATCTATCCCTTGCGATGGTTAGACGCGAGTCATTCCCACATTTACGCAACGAACGTTGGTTGCGAGTACTTCGTACAAGGTCCCCTCAGTAATCGTCCTTATTTCATAACCTCGCCTTATTTTTACCGCACTTACTTTTTCTGCTTAACATTTTCCCTTAGGCGGCCTATAAAAAACAACACATAGTCTTGTTTTGTCCTCTTTATTCGGGGCTTAGCTTAAGTGTTGCAGAAAGTAATATTTCCGGAGGCGAAAATTTATTTCTTTTCCTATTTCGCAACATTGTAACATTTTTAGGGCTTAAGCGCAGACGACAGACGCTATATATATATATATTATTTTGACGTTTTACCACAATCTTTATAAATATGGATAGAATTAAAATAGGTATAAAATTTGTACTATTTATACCGCTGTTACACGGATGGGCAGGTTCTTTCGGGTACCTTGGACTTACAGAAGACCAGTGTGAAGTGGAAGTATTATACTTCTACGTTTCATCTGGTGAGTGAGGTAGCCGGGGTCCACTTTATTGAAAGGTGGCAACGCATCTGTTACCCTACGGGTGTTGCAAATGTCAACAGGCGTCGATTATAACTTAACATTATATGAACCGCCCAATCGCTTGCCACCGTCTCACGTAAAAGATCAAGAATTATTTCTAAGATTCTAATAATCCCAAGTTTACGAAAGGGGGTAACTTAAGCAAATATATACTTACAAGTCCCTCTCTCACTGGAGTCTACCGCAAGAACCAAAACGCTCTGCTAATTGCTGTTGCAGTGCATACGACAAGTAGCGCTCTAAATCAATTTATGTCTACCGCAAAGTGCTACAATTTCTATCCGCAGACGAAGTATTATAAGTTATTAAAAATGGTGTTTCGAATGAGGGTGAACGTCACATCACATGATTTCATTTTTTAAAACTTGAAAACACCTAGTCTTTATCGATAAAATTATAAAGTTGATTATCTATATATATATATATATATATATATAAATGAATCCCTATTTCCCTTGGTCACGCCATCACGCGTGAACGGCTGGACCGACTTCACTTTTTTTTTTGTTGTGTTTGTTATTATCAGAAGGTTCTTATGAAAGAAAAAATTTAAAAAGTTGCCTGAAAAAGTCTAAAAACAACACTTTTCTATATTCCCGTACAAAAGATTCGTAATAATACTTACAAGTCAATTTGAACTTGAATACCATTCCATAAAGTTTAAGTGTTAGTGGAGGGGTTCCGGGAAGGCAAAACAAGTGAGTGACTGTGGAAAAATGTTACTTGAAATGTAAACGTCTCTTTGCTGTTCATCACTACATAATATAAAACAAAGTCGTCCCTCTGTCTGTCCCTATGTATGCTTAGATCTTTAAAACTACACAACGGATCTTGATGCGATTTTTTTTACTAGATAGAGTGATTCAAGAGGAAGGTTCATATGTATAATACATTGCACCCTTGCGAAGCCGGGGAGGATCGCTAGTATACATATAATTGACACTAATGACTATGAAATAATGTGAAAATGTTTACCTAACCAATGTTTTTATAATGTTTGATTTTTTAATTTTCCAAAACAAAAAAGTTAAAAACAAAATGGTAAATATTTTCGTGATATTTTTTTTTTTTTCACTTTAGAATATGGCTTTGGGCTCATAATTCTGTCGATAACATAACTTGTTAACTAATGCAATGCGTCCTGTTCATGTAACTTGTGCCGTTATTTTCATGGAGATGTTTTTATCATTTTATTTACTTAATTTCGTACTTTTATCAGGAAACAGTGGGAAGAGAAGCTTAATATATACTTCTTAAACTGTTTGGCCATGACATCTACATATGTGGTGGTAAATTTATTGCAGTCATAAATTACCGTTTTTACCACAAGTTCACATAGCATGGGAAGCGTATATTGTGATTTGCCTTGTATTAGAAGGGATAGCAAAAAAGCTAAGCAACCTTTCCCAAATCTTTTTTTAGATTTCTCAATGTCTTATAAAATTATGAAAAAGGACTGGTGTTGTTTTAAATCGATGTATTTTAAAAACAAAAACGTGAAAAATGCCTTTTTACAAATAGAATTAAAATATGTAAGTCTAAATTCGATCTAGTATCTGTCGACGTACTGTTCATTGAAACAAAATTTAACACTGAATAAGCAAGTTAACTGCTTAAATTACGTGCATGCAGTGTGTTGAAAAAATTGGACAATTAACGTTCTATTGACTAACAAGAAAAAAATTAAAATACGATACAAACATCGCGATGACTGAGTTGAGGGTGTCTTCGTATTTTTTGAGCATATGCACTTAACACAACTAAATTGTTAAGGCGAAATGGGCACTACGACAAGTTTTCAAATTGAAAATGAAGAAACTACACATTAAAATATGAAGATGTAAAGGAGTAAGTCGATTAACAAAATTAACCTTCAATCCCTAAATCGCAACCATACAGCCTTCAAGGTACCAAGTATAGATGTGATCTGAGCTCAGGAATATCGAGTGCCTGGATAGCGAGTTACAGTCTGTGAAATCGTTTAGTTTGTGGTCCATTTTCTCTATTAAAACTTAACAGAACTACTGGAATTTTTAAAGTTCTTCTTCTTAAATGCCTTTACAAAGCTGCTGGAATTTAAACTTCTGCAGTTTTTGAAGCGATATCACGGCAACCGAAATCCAGAGTATAATAAATCTTTAAACTGTGAGTGGATAAATCTTTATTCTTGCGTAAAGTTCGAGGAGGCCCTTGATACGGATATATTACGAAACTTCCTCACTAATGGGGTCAATCACGTTACACTCAATTGACCAACTACTGTAGATCATATGAACTCTCTAGCAGCAAGTTCCAAGATTGTCTAAATCGAACCTTTTGTAATAAATGACAATTGATACTTCAATAAAAAAACTTAGCATTTACCCTTTTTACTAAAAAAATAATTACTCGATTAAACTTTAGATTAAACTTAAATGTGAATTTTCGACAATTCGTGTCGAGCACTAGAATATTTCTTGAGGTTAACGAAGTTTGCGTCAATTTCCAAATAGGTCGGTTTAAAAAACTTGGACTGTAGTCTTTCCGTTTTTCTTTAAATGACTTCGTACAGTTGTATGAATTTATAGCGGATATAAGCCGTTTATTGTTATTATACTCTTAAATATAAGTACCTGAATGACGGAGCTTTGCTCGGTGGTTAAAAAAAAATAAGTGTGTAAATGATCGTGACACGAACCGCGGCCTTCTGTTTCCGGGCCGCCTGAAAACCAACCGAGCTATTATAAAATTTTTTTTCGGTGAAATTTACCGTCATATTCGAATGATATTTTTCATTCCCTGAAAACAGGGATAAAACGACATTTTATAAAAATGAAACCTACGTACCCGAATCTACGCGCATACAAAATTTTATGAAAATCGCTGGAGCCGTTTCCGAGATTCCGCTTATATACTCGTATATACATGAATTGCTCGTTTAAAGGTATAGATGTTATATATTTTTATAATAAAAAATATAAAGGGGGTGTGGAAGAGATATTGAAAATATGTTACAGAGAGGAAAATGATCGCATTATAAATTTATTAAAAACTCAAGGAAACTCAACCGACCGAAAATCACCAAGGAACTTCAACCGACCTAATGATGTACTTACTTATCTGCCGCACAAACAAGCAACAAATAACTCTCCAAAATTTATAATAAATAATAAAATAAGAAAGATATCTAAATAAAGGAATAAAACGCAAAAAACGATTATTGTTTTCAAGACGTTTAAAACAATTTTTAGACATTTATTTAAAATTAGTTAAAATGTAGAAGGGTAAAAATTTTATATTCCTTATCCTTCCAATACAGACATAACTAACGTAAAGAATGACATCCCGGTCTTGATAAACTGAAACAAAAACACAAAATTACGTAAGTTTTTAATAAACTTTAATTTTCACTTCATTGAATACTCAAAGTATCTTTTTTCTCCGAGCGACAAACACATACAGTAAAGACACTTCCATATAAAATAAGTAATAAAAGAGCTTCCAAAATATAAGAAGAAGCAGAAAATAAAAGTCTTCAGTAGTTACGTATGAGTTTAGAGAAGAGTTTAGAGATACATTTGGTAAATAAAATTACTTTTATTAATGTTTAATACTATTATTAATAATATATAATAACGTATAAGAAACATTTAAGTACAATTAGAAATATTTATTTAATTATTGTAAGAAAAATCGTACATTTCACCTAAAAAGGTAATAATAATCTCACCCAGGTAAATGTTGGTAGCGATAAAGTTATTGTCCCGAAGATATAAATTGGCATTTGCTGGCTAACCGCTAATTTGAAGATCAATATGTTAATTTTATGTGTTCTGTCGAATAGGTACCAGTTTTCCGTGACAGCCAGTTCCAACTTCTCACACTGAAATGTACCACCGAACCGATAACTACCAAAGCATGTCCAAGAGTTTTACATATTTGCTAAGAGAAGTTTTTGTTTTCAAAAGTAAGTCGAAATACTTACAAAATAACATCTTAATTTTATATTATTTCGAACAAGAAAATAAATAATAAATATAAGATGTCATCACCATTTATTTTCAGAATGGAAACATAAAATAGCGAAAACCATACTGTTAATAACAAATATACATAGGAGAAATATTTAGGGTTTTTTTTATATGGGATTTGGATCGAAAATCGAAACAAAAATCTTGACATTTAAAAAATAATTTATATAAATTCACGCACCTCGTTCTGAACTTGTTGTCCAAGTAAACAAAACATAAAAACAACTAATATAAAACAAATCTCATGTACGTAATACTTCATCATGTCCGGTGAAAGTTTGCTCTAGAACAAGAAAACGATTGAATGTTTAAGTATAAAACAATTTTATGTCCTAAGCGATCCTAAGAAATTTGACGTGTACTAAGAACTAATATTGGACATTTCCTATTTTAATTTATAAGTATTCAATGCTTATTTATTAAACACGGAACACTGCGTGATAAGAATTTCTTTGACTAAAAAAGTTGTTTTGCTAAATAGGCGCATTGATAGTATATATTGATAGTATACATTGATGACTCCGTGGTGCAATCGCCAATCTGCTTCGGCATCAGGCGTCGTGGGTTCGATTCCAACACGGGACAACAATTTGTGTGACCCACAGATAGTTGTTCCGCATCTGGGTGTTTGTCCGCGTGAAATTTATGTTTGTAAAAACGTCCTTACAACTCAGGATAATGTATCCCAATCTCAAGTATCCCAAATTAAGGGCAATGTTCTTAAAAAATAAATAATGAAAATAAAATATTAGTATATATCGATTTTGCGGGTATTATAAAGCGCCATTGCTAACAGCGCCCAGTTAAACGCTCACACCTACACTTTGACTGGAAAATGTTTAACAAGAATAAGTTGATAAATTAAAATATGTGATAGGTGAGTCCGACAATGTTCATCTAATAACTAGTTTGAACATAATTAGTTTTGCTGCCACTGAAATAGCGGGAATCTCTCATTTAAATTGTTCATCAAATAACATTGGGTTTTCAAATTTGGACTCGAAATTTGATGATGTGCAAACACAATAGAATCATAGTGGTATTATATATAAACTGCAATACTGTTATTATAATTAGCATTGCAGGAAATTCACCTGTGTACTTAATTTTATAATAATTAATCATCGACAGGAAAGCAATTGAACACGTTCAAGTTATATAGGTACTTACATGAAGATTACTTTATTATACCTAGTAAAAATATGCCGAGTATTTCATTACTTTGTCACATATTTAGTCTAATAGTACGGTGTTAGTCGTGGTGATAGTGATTATTTCTATTAAAACGAAAACTAAAACCTATCTTGACTTACAGAAATTGCTATCTTCACGGAACACATGCATACAAGCATTATTGATACTAATATCAGCGCTAAATAGAATGGCTGACAAATCACATTTAGACGATTTGTAAATCTGTAAAATAGAGAATAATTTAATGATTCAAAACTCCCGGATATTTTATTTAATAATTTTTATAATACTTCTTCAAATATTTTGAATTTCTCGTAGCATTTATTATTTCTTAATTCTGGTAAAAGCAATTGATTTTTTGCTGTTTATCAATTATAGAATAATACTAGGTGACCCGGCAAACGTTGTTTTGCCATACAAATTATTTGTAGGGTAGAAAAAAATGTTTGCGTTGGATCACCCTTAACATTTAAGGAGATGAAAAATAGATTTTGTCCGATTCTCCAAGCTGGCGGATATGCACACAAAATTTCACCAAATTTCGGTCGAGCCGTTTCGGAGGAGTTCAATTACAAACACCGTGAGACGAGAATTTTATATATTAGATTAATTACATATGTAGTTGCGAAGCTTTAACTTCGGCGACTTCGTGGATTTGATTCCCTCATGGGGCAAATATTTGTTTGATCTCACAGATATTGTTCAGGATCTGGGTGTCTCTTCCCAAGGAGGGTTGACTTTAGGTAGCCAGCTGGTCCTAAAAAAACTAGTTAATACCGTTAACAACATGATTTCTACTGATCCCATTAGGACCAGTAAGGACAGTAAGGAGATGTGAACTTGACGCAACGATTTTCATTATAACATAATAGTGAATCTTGTCCCACTTACCAATTATCGTCAACCTACCAAATATTTAATGATGAATAACTCATCGGAAATTCTAACCTTTTGATTTTTATGTAGTGTTTGACACATTGGGATAATATCTCAGAACAGTATAATTGCCAGTGATCTGATTTGTTACCCTCCAACTGGCTCGATAGCTCGTTTAAATTTTGCAGTACGAAAGTAATAATTCGCAATTGACGAATCGTTTGTCCGACTAAGAGGATTATTGTAGACTGCAATCCTGGGTAGGCTGAAATTATTCAAATTTCCTGTTCATTTACAATTTTTATGTGATGATTTTCTGAATGACCAAGTTTAAACTTACCAATACAACATAAGTAGCCTGCGTAGGCGTGAAAAATGAAAGTGGCCACGTAAATTTTAAAGTTATCTAAGCTCCACGGAAACCACATATCAAATGCTGAAAAAACTTTTTAATTAAAACATGAGTGAAACTGTTTCTCTTTATTTGTTCTTCATTATTTTCGATATGCTTCCTTAATTTGTCATTTTATGTAATTAAGTTGAGCTAAATTTTTTCATCATCATCATCATATCGCGTCCCTGCGATCTTGGCTAGGTCGTCCGTCCACCTTGTGGGAGGCCTTCCTACGCTACGCTTGCCGTCACGTGGTCTCCACTCAAGAACCTTTTTGCCCCAACGGCCATCGGTTCTTCAAGCTATGTGCCCTGGCCACTGCCACTTCAGCCTGCTCAATCGCTCTGGTCGGTAACTCTAGTTCTTCTACGGATCTCCTCATTTCTCCGCGAGCTTCCTTATGAGGCCCATAGTGAGATACCACGTCTCGGCACCGTAGGTTATCGCTGGTAGCACGCACTGATTAAAGACTTTCGTCTTTAAGGACTGTGGTATTTTGGATGTAAAGACGCTGCGCAATTTCCCGAAAGCAACCCAGGCGAGCTTGATTCGTCGATTGACCTCCTTCTCGAAGTTGGATTTGCCTTGTTGGACCATTTGTCCCAGGTAGACGAGTGGCGAGCCTCCTAACAATACGGGGGTGGGCGACAAATTATACTCCTCAGTCTTCTGTATAATTTGTCGCAGCGTATGAATGTGGTCTAACGGAAACCGGCTTGTTCAGGAGGCTGGAAATCATCAAACCTCCGTTGGAGACAATTCGTGATCACCTTAGAAAACAGCTTATAAACATGGCCCAGAAGCGACATGGGCCTGTAGTTCTTCAGCAAGGTTTTGTCACCTTTCTTGAAGAAGAGGACCATCATGCTTCCGTTACATGTTTTGGGCGTAGTACCCTCGAACAAGACGGAATTGAAGAGCTTCTGAAAGACTTTCAGTACCGGTGTTCCACCCGCTTTCAGAAGCGCTAATTTAATTCCGTTGCTGCGCTGATTAAGCTGCTTGCGGGTCATCCTAATCTCGAACAGGCTGATGTCCGGGATATCTTTTGTATAGAGTCGAGTTTATTTGGCTCTTGGATCTTTAACCAAATCGTCAAAAGGCTTGGCGCTCGAGGCATATAACTAACTGTCCGTAGAACCTTTCGATCTCCTTCAGTACCTCTGACGTAGTAGACGCTACACTGCATCGTATCTTTAATACGAATAGTTTTAAATTTACGGATCTATTGAATTGCCGATATGCTTCAGCGTCCTCGGAAGTATGCAGCGACATTGAGCGACTCTCCGCCATAAGGTCGCCATAAGATCATCTGATAATTTCTGATAATTTTTGAGCTCTATCTTTCCGGCGGGGTCTTAAGAAAGTTTTCCTTTCCTCGTGGATGGTTTCTACCAGCCTGTTGTTGACCTCGTCCACAGAAACGCAATCCTCCAGGAAGGAGAAGCGATTTGTGAGCTACAGTTGAAAGCTCTCGGGGTTTTGTATGTGGGCTGCAGTAGGTCGGAGCGTGGACTTCATTAAGCGAGACCTTCCTAGGTGGACATTAATACTCTCAATGTGCTTCTAACGAATGGAAATAATGTGCGAAGTGGAAGCGAAAGACAGGAAAGGCAGACCCAACTACCGTGTGGGCATAATAATTGCACGGGAGAGAGAGAGTGCCTCTAACCATTCTGTGATCACTCCCGGTTTTCACCCTGTGTGTCACGGAGACGTCATTCAATATTCGTCTCTTTGTTGACAGAATTAAGTCAATCTCATTTTTTGTGCAGCCGTCGGGACTCATCCAAGTCCATTTCCTATGAAGCTGCTTCTTGAAGAAGGAGTTCATCATAAAGAGTTCCTCCTACTCCAGAAAGTCAGCCAACTTCTGGCCCCTTTGATTTCTCCGCCCATATCCAAATTGCCCCACTCTCAACTCATTATCGCCTCTCCTACCTAGTTTTCAGTTAAAATCCCCGTATCTAAATCATATGTATGGCCCTACTGATGTCCTCATACATAGCTTCCACTGCATCGTCCGGGTGCGCCGAGGTCGGTGCGTAGACCTGTATGACACTCTGAGTATAAGGAACGCCACCCTGCTCGACAGACTCGTGACACATACCACGTTGTTTACGAGATTAATTTTTTTGACAAAATAATAAGTTAATATAATCAAATAAAGCCTCTAGTGTTTTTTTTAAATGTGAAAAGTTGCCAAGCGAGCACATGGTTCACCTGGAGTTATATGAATATCGTTACCCACGGACATCTGCCACACCCAAGGGTTGCAGATGCGTTGACAACCTTTTGAAAATTGGCCCGGCTGCCTCACTCACCAAACGATACGCGAAAGTATTATACTTACACTTTACGCCGGTCTTCTGTGAGGTCGTGGTACTTACCCGAAGCCTACCCATTCCTGCAACAGGCGAGGCTGCTGAGTGGCCCTACCACAAAAAAAGGCCTCTAGTGTACAGCACTGTGGGTTAGATCATCTATATTGTTTTTGCTTGTTTTTTTATACTCACCCAGTAAGCGCAAAGATTCGTCTCTCGATATAAACATCTGATAGATTGGAGTACACAAGTAAAGCGTTGCGCACAACCATACGCTCGCAACATATATTTTTAAAAGCACTGTAGTGGTACGCAATAACTTCTGTTGAGATGTTATCACAAGTACCTTTAAATCGTTCAATTTTCCACCGTATTCATTTCTCAGAATGTGTGTGATCAAAGGCATGTCTAACATTCTGTCTTCGAACGCCATTTCACTCAAAAATATCTGGAATTTTTCTCTAAAAATCAAACACACACCCAATGAAATAAACATGATAACACCCGTCGTCCAAATACAAGCACCCTGTATAAACAAGAGCAGATTGTTAAAATGGGTAATCACAAATCCAGAGGTAAATATGAATGTCAAAAAACCAAGAAAGAAATTGAAAATCTGATACAGCAGCCATTGCCTAGAATGCTTATACTTTTTTGAGAAAAAAGAAATTCCCGCTAAAGATAAAACTCTATGAAATGTTCGAAATGTTTCATCCATACTAGCTGCTACTAACGATTGAAATATGTGAATGACACAGGCTTATTTTTCTTTACTTATAAATCAAAGTTGGTACATTCGCATGGAAAGAAATTTATAAATTCTTATTACATATACTCATTGAGAGAACAAAGATGTACAATATATTTGTTAAGATTGGATGTAAGTCAAAGGACGACTATTTATCTACATGGCACGAAGTTCTAGTATTGTATGTGTTCAGTGTTATTTAAGTTAAAATTATTGTAAAATCACTATGTGGTAATTATAGAGAATCTTGTCAATCGGACGATGAACAATGGCTAATTCAGATTTTTTACGTATTTATTATTATCTTTTTATTTATTACAATTATTAAACTTTTTGATAAGCATTGTGTTTGTAAGTGTATAACTCATCAGAAGAACACAAAGAAAAATGACAAATTTCAAGAATTATGAGAACGGAACATATGTTCTATTGTACCATAATTGTTTGATTGACACCTCTTTGATATTTCGAGATTAGCATTCAAAGAAAAATATAGACGTTTGAATTTGATTAAAATTTTTCTCTTCATTTTGAGGGTTTAGTTTATTGCCACAATATCTACTAGTGTTTCTGCTCATTTTGTATTCTTTATATAAACGAAACGATTTAATGAAATTATAAATTTCAAAAATGTATACTAAATAGACATAAAAACTTCCCTACTTTCTGCAATTATGTGTTTACCGACTCTAATTATGATGAGGTGTAAAAACGATACCTACTAATTTGTTTAATGCAAGAAGAAAAGGCAGGTCACAGCATCTTATATACCGTTTACAAGCTTTTCAACTTCGCTGTCACACATTGTAAATTCTT